TCTACGTCACGATGTGGGAAGATTTGCATAACTCCGCCCAAATGTTCACGCAAAGAAAGGTGGTGTCATTTTTATTCTCGCTGTAGTATTGTTGTTGCCGCACCCATGTCGTGGAGACGCTGTGTGTTTCGTTGTGAAAGCGAAACTACTTTGTTTGGCCTTTTCAAAAGAGGACACAACTAGAAATCAGTGGTTAAGTTGTATTTACAGCACTGTTCCAGAACAGTTCAAACCAAATATTCGAGTGTGTGCAGCGCATTTAATGGAGGACTGTTTCCTGGGAGAGTAGCCTACAATGCGTCTGTACACAAAGGCTGTTTCTATAAAGTGGGGCAATTCCAACTTTGCAAGGACAGTCTGGCGCTTCTGACTCACAGCCTGTAAGTATGTTTTCATATTTACAGAATTTGCCACTGACGTTTCAAACGCGAATTTTGAACAATGTAGAGCAGCGCTTGTTGTTTGTCCTTTCTCAGATCACAAATGCAGACATGGTTTTATGTTTACGTGGCGTGATATGCAACGCAATGCGTAATAAGACAGTCTAAGTCATTATAATGAGGGGTGCACATAAGTGGTCCGCATGCGCGACCAAAATAAGAAATGCGCTGTGTAAATGAGTTCAGAGTGCACGTTTGCATACCGACATGGGCTGTGTTTCCCAAAATAATCGTAAGCCTAAGTACATCGGAGACCCATTGCCACCTATGGAGCTACGATCAACTTAGGCTTACAATGCTTTTTGGAAACGCAGCCATGGTTGACAGCTGTTAATGCACAATTACCATTTTAGATCGACAAACTGTACTGTTTAAGATTTCTATTCAAACTGAAAGCATAAATCTAGGCTAACGTTTTCAAAGCACAGTGCAAAACTGTGACATTTCATTCACTGACGCTCTACAATCGGCAGCGCTAAACCCGGAAGCGCATATACTTACTTGCCGGCAACCCACCAAAATAAAAACTTGCTGATTTAAAAAAATTAAAATAATTCAAATTAAAAATAATAATTAAGGTTCAAATTAAAATAATAAAAAAAATAGCATTTTATTTTTAAGTTTACTGTAAAATAATTGTATTTGTATTCTCGTTTGTGATGGGTTTTAATGTTTTGTCTCGTCGCTCCGGGACACGGCATCACCGTATGGTAAGGGACGTAACATTTCCATCACATGCTTGAGGCATTCAGCCAATCACAACGCACTGGATAGCTGGCCAATCAGCATACTTTTAAGCAACGTCATATGACCCTTTAAGAACAGTTCACTAAAAAGTTTTTTGAGAAACATAAAAGGATTTATTTAGGGATCGCTGTAAAGCCCCTTTTGTTTTTAAGAGTGTAGAATCTGTTGTTATTGTCTAGTGGTAGATACTGTCTCGCAACAGAAACAAGCTGATCAGTTCTAAATCCAGGATATGTTTTGAAAGACTCTTGTTTTGTTTTTCAACCTTGTTTACTACAGAGTCCAGATGAAGACCAGGCCATGTCAGAAAAGTCCACGACATAGTCGTGTTCAACAGCAGAGCAGATGTCTGAGGTTCCAGCCACTGTAGGCAGTGGTATGTGCGGAAATTAATTTAGACTGTTTCAATGTTCCGAGATTCTGTAGTAATGAGATTACATTTTGGTATATTGGTATTGGTCATCTGTTACCTGAAATCTAATGGTTTAAAGTAAATTATAGTTAAGTAGTTATTAATTATTTAAATATGTCTTTTTCATTCTAGCTGCCTCAGAAGAGAGCAAAGATAAAAATTACTCAACATCCTTTGAAGAAAAGCATGTAAGTTAGATTAAAAGTGAAAGATCTTGTTCCTATCAATTAATCTAAAATATTGTTTTCTAAAAAATGGCATCCAGTGTCAGCATTACAGCATAACTTCTGAAGCATACCTACAAATTAAGGTCAATTAGGTGCCATGTCAAATTTAAATGCTAATGTAATTCTTAATTAAATCTGTCTTCACACTTTTCCAATCTGGAGAGTTCCCAGGGTGATCTTGACCACACGTCAGCTACACTAAGCCGAATGTCTAGAAAATCAACAGACAGGTTTGTGAATTTGTTTAATACCTCATGCTGTATATGTGCATGTGGTGGACTTCTGAATGAGGCAAAGTCTCCTCTCTTTTTTAAAGTGTAAAATCATGTTCCATTTTATGTTTACCCCACATTTGGATGAGGATGTTACAGCATACTTAAAGGAATAGTTCACAAAGAAAAATTTCATTGTTTACTCATGTTGTTCCAAACCCAAACTTTCGTTCATCTTCGAAACACAGTTGAAGATATTTGTAATGAAACCTGAGAGAGTTCTGAGCTTTCTAAAGACTGTTTAAAATCCATATGAATTTAGTGAGAAGTTTAATTTTTGGAAGAACATTACATTAAATCTGCAGTCCGTAAGTTTTGCCTCTTTGTCGCCATCTCTGTTTGAAAACCTGGAATTGCAGCTGAGTGCGGAATTATCTAGCTTGCTTGGGTTGAGTCGGCACGACTCCAGCGCGGATGAATCTAATGTTCTGAAGAGTATGTGTGGCAGTCAGTCACCGCACTGGTGTGGATATTTACTGTACTTCTCAATCACAGATTCTAGCCTACGCCTTGGAATATGACCCAAATACAAATTTTCTACGCATATTGCCATCTGAACAAGTAAGTAACAAGTCTGCCACGTTTGTTCTGACCAACTGAGGAAAAAAGCATTACCATAAATCTCGCTACCAATGGT